AATTATTGAATTATCAGATGATGAAACAAATAATAATGATGAAATCAGAGAATTAGAAATGAAAAAATTACATTATAGAAAAAATATTGATAAAGATTGGTTTAATAAATATATATATATATGGTTGGAATCTGCAAACTTTGTAGAAATAGAAATGGAACATCAAAATTCTCAAAGGGTAATGTTTTTATTTTAAAACAGGGCTATTAAGAAAATCTACCCGAAGATATAAAATTATGTTGTTTGTAGGAAAGTTGTGTTTCATGAAATTGCAAAGCTCACATTTGTATCTTCAAATTTGAACTATTTAATAAAAACTTTTTTATATATGTAAAAAAATAAATAACAAGTCGGCTTAGCCATCTAAGCATCAAATTCCTTGGAATCATTAATCATATTCGAATATTTAAGGAATTCATTTATCTGTGATTGCGAAGAATAACCAAATTAATTCATAAAATAACTGGGTTTCTATAAATTTTTTATAAATTCCTTGATTGCATACAACTTGAAAAAAAACAAACTCGCTTTTATTTTTTTATAAATACTCTTAATTCCATACAATCTGAAAATCAAGAAAAAAGTGAAAACTTGACAAGGATTAACTGAACAACAAAAATGAAATTCAAATATTTCTCTTCTCTTTTTTGATTATCTTTGTTGTAGTTGCTTTATCAAGAACAGTGATTTGGAATTTCACTTATTATTATATTACTATTACAATAAATATCATTGTTTTTGAAAAAATAATGAATAGCCTGTAAGAATTTTCATACTATTAATATCATTGTTTTTGAAAACATATTAAGTGTTAATTTTCATTTTATTAAATAATAAATAGAGAATAAGTTTTATTTTCATCATTACTACAGTCAATATCATGGTTTTTAAAAACATATTAACCGTTGATTTTTGGTTTATTTTAAATAATAAATAGGGAGCAAGTATTCTCATCATTTACTATCATTACAGTCAATACCATTGTTTTTGTAAATATATTGACTGTTTGCTTTCGTTTTATTTTAAATAAAAAATAGTATGTAAGCATTTTCATCAGCATTATTATTACAGTTAATATCATTGTTTTTTGAAAAATTATCAACTGTTGATTTCATTTTATTTTAAATAATGAATAGTTTGTCATTGTTTTTAAAAAGCATATTAACTGTTGATTTTTTGTTTTATTTTAAATAATGAATAGCATACAAGTATTTTCATAATTACAGTCAATACCATTGTTTTTGTAAACATATTAACTGTTGGTTGATTTTCATTTTATTTTAAATAGAAATAGAGTAAATAAAAGC